ATTATAAATATTTTACTTTTAAAAAAAATTTATATATAGTATATTCGTGTATCTACATTTTTGCACTGGACCATATTTTATTATAATAAAAATTAATTAAAAATAATAAGTTAATATATAATATTAAATAATATGTAAAATATATTTAGTCTATTAAATTTATAATAAGACTAATTTGATATTTAATTATCTATATATAATTTAATAATAGAAATTATCAAATCAATATATAAATATTACTATTAAATTTAGAAAATACAAAAGAATTAGACTAGAATATTATAATCTAATTTAAATATTTCTATTTAATAAAAATTAATAAAAAATATTAAACTAATATATAAAAATTTATATAAGTAATTAAAATATTATTAATATCAAATTTGACTTTTTAAAGAATATATAAGCTATTTTAAATAACTTAAATTTTATAATCTATCTATTTTAAATAATCTAAGTTTTATAATTTATCTATTACTTAAATAACTTGAGTTTTATAATTTACTTATTACTTAATTAACTTGAGTTTTACAATTTATATATCATATCTGAGTGATTATAATTTAAACTAAGTGAAAATAATATAATTATATTATTTTTACTAATAAAAAAACTATTATAATATTAAATATAAATATTAATTTTTTATTATAAATAATTAAAAAAAATAAATATTATATTTCTTTCTATAAATATTTATATTAGATATTCTTGTTCTATTTATAATAAGTATTTTTTAATTATTATTTTTATTATCAAATACAAAAAGTTTATTTATTTTAATATCTAAAAAAAAAATCAAATAAATAATTTTGACTATTATTAATGATTTTTTTATATTTTTATTTTTAAATATAATATATAAAGAAGTTTTATTATTATTAATTATATTTCAAATAAAGAGATATTATATAAATAGATATCATTATAATTTTTTTGTAATTTTTGACCGGCATTATATAATATAAAAATAACTCGGCATAACTATAATTATTGTAATTCTTGACCGGCATTATATAATGCAGAATTACATGTTAATGTAATAAATTCTTATATTTGATTGGTTACATGAGACGTGATTTTGGTCTGAATACCCTTCCAAAAATCACCTGATAAATGTCTCCACCGTAATAAATATAAATTTAAATCATGATATTTTCAAAATCAAACATAGGTTAGTATATTTAAAAAAGATATCAAAATTTACGTGGCTCGATCCTAACCAACAAATCTAAGCATATGGGAAGAGTCAAACCTCAAACGATTTCCGCCAAGTCCGCCGAAATTATTACAACTCGGTGGTTAGAGCCTTCTGAATTGAAAGATTTGGGTATTTGTCAATTGTATTATATGTATGTTTTAAGCGTTTGTATTTATAAGTTATTTGTTTTTAAAGGTGTCGATTATACTAAGGGAAAATATTCGAAACAGGAAGACACACTTTTGATCCAAGCTTTAGAAGAATATAAAATTGTAAGTGTTTTCCCATATTTATTTGATTTGGCTTTTTCAAACTATCTTCATTACTTTATATATAATTTTACTAGAAACATGCTCTCAATAATCAAGAAATTTATCAATTAATTTATGGAAAAAATGGAAAAAAAGGAAAGCACAAAGATTTTTGGAAGGAAATCGGTTAGTGGACATTACAATTTATATTTTTTCTTTATTGAATTGACATATATGGTGTGTCTATCGTTCAAATCCTAGGTTCTGTCTTACAATCACGTCCATTGAAATCATTGACCAGTCATGTACAGAGAATGCAACATCCTTTTAGGAATGCCGGAAAATGGTCGCCAGAAGATGATGCACTTTTGAAAAGGTTTCGATTTCAATATCATAGCATGCTAGTCATTCATCTTACCTTGTTCTGAATCGCATAATATTCCAAAAAGACTTTTCCAAGAACATGGATCTAATTGGAAGATCATCGGCGAGCTAATGGAACGAACAGGACTTGCATGTCGTGATCGATACAGAGATTTTGTTGAAATCGAGTCCACGATGACGAGAGGTTTTATCTAATTATCATTTTTTGATTTTTTTGATTTTTCATTGATCATTCGTTAATTTGACTTAAGGGAAATGGAGTGAAACAGAAATAAAAAAATTATGTGATATAGTTGATGAATTAATTAAGAGTGGGCAAGCAACAGAGTCAAGCGTTCCATGGAATCATGTATCTGAAAAAATGGGCTTTACAAGATCTCAACATCAATGTCGTGAAAAATGGTATTTGCTCTTGAATAAACATACAAATTTATTAACTTTTTTATATTAATCTTTATATATATACTATATCAAAGGCACAGAGATCTATTAATGCGTTATAAAAAAGAGGACCTCAAAGAAGCGCCAAAGTGGACCGAAAAAGACACATGGACATTAATCAAAAAGTATTATGCTGCTTTGCATTTTATTGCGTGCGGTATATCATGTTTTTACATGAAAATTTTTGAACCAATATCAGGATGTGGGAAATTGACGTGGAGGATGATGTTGATATTCCTTGGGAAGATTTAGCAAATGATCCAAATTGGGGACCATGGTTAGTGCAATAAATAACACGTGATCTTTGTATCCGAAAATTGCGATTCTCACTTAGAGTATAATTGTTTTAACAGGGCACCGACATATTTGCGCAGAATATGGAATGGATGGCGAAGATCGAAAGAAGAATATATTAATCTGCATTTTGCAGGTAAGCTTAGAGCTTTTGTATTCGATTTGTCAGTATTTAATATATTCAATCTTTAAACACTTGCCTTTATAACAAAGTATTCACAGAAAAGATTTATTTCAAAATTCGGGAAAAAAGAGAAGCTGCTGCTCGAATGGAACAAAAAAAGAAAGAAAAGAAAGTGAAAACTTCACCACAAAAAACACTTTCTGCAGAATTCGTCGAAGATAGTGATTTTGAAGAGTAGAGGAAAATAAATATGGTAATTAAACAAAATTTCAGAATTTCATTCGTTTTTTCTTTTAGGTAGGATTAATTTTAACCATACAATAAGCAGTGGTACTACCATTTTTCTATAATGATACATCCTAGCGATTGAGTTCTAATAAACATGATTGCACATAAAAAAATATTGGTTATACAATAAGCAATAAAGTGATTATATTCAAATTTACTCGTTAATACAATAGATGCATATAAAATCTTGATATTCTAAAAAAATTAGATAGCAAATCAATTGAGCAAACAAACAAATTTAACTAGAATAGTTGTTTCAAATACAGATAAACCTTCCTAAATGCATCCCTCTCGGGACTAGCCATGAGCGTGCATTTAGAGAGGGTGTGCACTTAGAGAAAAAAAGTATTTTTTATGACTTAATTACTATATATATGAAGTTATTTTTATTATTACATGTTATTTTTAAATCGCATTAAAAATTATTATAGCTATTAAATATTTATTATAGTAATTCATTATAGTAATCAATTAAAATTTATTATAGTAATTAAATCATTATTAAAATTTATTATAGTAATCAATCAAAGTCTTAAAGATTAAAGTAACCTATATAAGACTGTTGCAATTGGTTAATCTAATAAACTGCTTCAAAATATTCACTAATGTTATATACTTGACTGTATCTTCTTGTTAAAATAAAAATAACTTAACATTTTTTAAACTTCTTAAAATCATATTAATACTAATAATTATTGATATTATTATTTTTATTCAAGTTATTTATTTTCTTCTTTCTAAATATATCTGCAAGCTTCATAATAAGTTGTTTCTTTTCTGGAACTTTATAAATAATATTCTTATTAAAAATAATTAAAAATTTATTAACTTCTATCTAATTTGAAAGATGAAGAGTATTAAATATCTTAGTAAGCTTCTCAAATATTAAATTATTAGTTTTTTAAGAATTATTAAAGAAATTGATATTATAATCAATTAACTATTATAAAAATAAGATACAGTAATATGATATAGTTATAGTATGAAATATAGTTAATAATTATTACTAAATCAAAAATATAATATATTATTAATATTTAATTTATAATTATATTATTAATCATATTTAGTCTTATTTATTAATTTTAAATATAATTTAGTCATGTACATCATACTAAATTAATAATTTAGAGATTATTAATTTTTTATTTAATTATTTTTGATTTTTTTTTCTTTAAATATAATTTCTTTAATATTATAATCAATTACCTATTTTTGTGATATAGTAAATATAACATAATATATGATACAGTTACAGTATATGGTATAGTAATTGCTAATTATTACTAAATCAGATATACAAGAATTTTATATTAATTAATTTAATTTATTTTTAATTTTATTTTTAATTTATATTATTACTTATATTTAGCCTTATTCTTTTATTAATTTAATTATATATATCATACTTAATTTATAGTTTTATTAAATTAATAATTTTCTAATTAATTATTATT